CCTCCGCCCCGCCCCGCCCGCGAATGCCGGGAGTTGTGGTCCCCGCAGGGCGCGAGCGCGGAGCCGGCCCAGAGGGCCGCAGGGCATGCCGGGACCACTAGCCCTTCCGGGGCGCCCCAGGCCTCCGGGTCCCAGCCCGCTGGGCGGACGTCCGAAGACCCCGCCTTCCCAGGAGCCCCTGCGGCCCGGCGCGAAGATGGCGGCGGCAGCCCGGCGTTCCTGAAGTGTCAGCTATGGAGCCTCCCCCGTCGCCGGGGCCGGAGCGGCTCTTCGACTCGCACCGGTAAGAGCCCGGCGGGAAGAGGCCGGCTCCCGAGTCTCCCAGCCTCCGGCGCCGACCCCCTCGCCTCTCTCCCGCAGGCTCCCGGGCGACGGCTTCCTACTGCTCGCGCTGCTGCTCTACGCGCCCGTCGGGTTCTGCCTCCTAGTGCTGCGCCTCTTCCTCGGGATCCACGTCTTCCTGGTCAGCTGCGCGCTGCCCGACAATGTCCTTCGCAGGTTCCGACCCGGGCGCACGGGGAGTGTCAGGGAGAGGCCCGGTCGAGGCCACACCGTCACCGCCGCCTGTGCCCCCAGGTTCGTGGTGCGGACCATGTGCGCGGTGCTGGGGCTCGTGGCCCGGCAGGAGGACCCGGGACTCCGGGACCAGCGCGTCAGAGTCCTCATTTCCAATCACGTGACACCGTTTGACCACAACATCGTCAACCTGCTCACCACCTGTAGCACCGTGAGTGGCGGCGAGGCCGAGCGTGCCACCGGGTGGCTCCCCGGACCCAGCGTCAGGCTCCCCTCTCCCCTCTCGAGTTTCCTGTGGGGGATGCCGAGCCTTCATCCCAGCCCCGACGTCACTTTTCCCAAATGACGCGTTTCTCTTCTTGTTTTCACTTCTCTCGGCTCCCAGCCTCTGCTCAACAATTCCCCCAGCTTTGTGTGCTGGTCTCGGGGCTTCATGGAGATGGACGGGCAGGGGGAGTTGGTGGAGTCCCTCAAAAGATTCTGTGCTTCCACGAGGCTTCCTCCCACCCCTTTGCTGCTGTTCCCCGAGGAAGAGGCCACCAATGGCCGGGAGGGGCTCCTGCGCTTCAGGTGGGTTAGTGTCACAGACATTGGCAAGTGCCGACTAGATTGGTCAAGCTCGTGGACCTTTGAGTTTTTACCTCCTTTTCGACCCTTAGGTCCCTCCGTTCCTAATTCACTTCCTTTGTGTCTGCTTTTAGTTCTTTCCCCTGAATCTCTTTATTCCCCATTTATCTACTTGTTCAGTTGGACAGTTGCCTGTTTTTTGTTTTTGTTTTGAGTTGGAGTCTCACTCTGTTGCCCAGGCTCGAGTGCAGTGGCACACTCATGGCCACCCTAGCATCGACCCACTGGGCTCAGGCGTTCCTTTTACGTCAGCCTTCCAAGTAGCTGGAACTACAGGCATGTGCTACCATGCCCAGCTAGTTTATTTATTGTAGAGACGAGGTCTCATCATACTGCCCAGGCTGGTCTCAAACCCACCGGCTCAGGCAATCCACTCGCCTCCGCCACCCAAAGTGCTGGGATTACAGACTTAACCACTGAGCCCAGCAAGTTGCCTGTTTTAAGTCAGCTATTAAGCTGCTGACTAGGCTGACTGGACTCCTATCCTCCTCTCTTCTTTCTCTTCTAGTTCCTGGCCATTTTCTATCCAGGATGTGGTACAGCCTCTTACCCTGCAAGTTCAGAGACCCCTAGTCTCTGTGGTGAGTAAGTATTGGACAGGAAATCTCTTGGGCTTGGAGGGGAAGTTTCCCACCCCTGGCCTTGGCTCAGGTCTCACTTCATGTCCTCCCCTCAGACAGTGTCAGATGCCTCCTGGGTCTCAGAACTGCTGTGGTCACTTTTCGTCCCTTTCACGGTGTATCAAGTAAGGTATTAACTGTCCTCATTTTTTGGTGGCTGGGGAGAGGCTTCCCTCAAGGTCAAGGAATTAGTAGCCTCTGCCCTGTCCATTTGTAGGTCTTCTAATCTCAAGGTTCCATCACAGAGGCAACCCAAAGTAGTTACTACCTCCCTACCCTCACCATGAAAAGAGGTCCCAGAGTGGGGAAGGGGTAACCCTGGGTGCCTGCAACATGTTCCTTAATTCTTTTTTGCAGGTGGCTTCGTCCTGTTCATCGCCAACTGGGGGAGGGGAATGAGGAGTTTGCATTCCGTGTACAACAGGTAGTAGGGTACACAGGGCAAGGTGGAGGTGGGGGTCCTTTCTTAGCCGGGTGGGGAGGAAGGCTTAAGGTCTTGATACTTTGAACCTTGCAATTCTTCCTAGCTGCTGGCCAAGGAATTGGGCCAGACAGGGACACGGCTTACTCCAGCAGACAAAGCAGAGCACATGAAGCGACAGAGACACCCCAGATTGCGCCCCCAGTCAGGTGTGTATGGTCTCTGTACATACAGCTTTTTGTTTTGTCAGCCTACTGTGATTTCTTCCCTATTCCTGTGCTAGTCACTCTTCCTTTCTCCTGTTTCTCTACTTACCACATTTCATCTTTTTTTTCCCCCACAGCCCAGTCTTCTTTCCCTCCCTCCCCTCGCCCTTCTCCTGATGTGCAGCTGGCAACTCTGGCTCAGAGAGTCAAAGAGGTTTTGCCCCATGTGCCACTGGGTGTCATCCAGAGAGATCTGGGTATGGGAAAGGGTGGCCCTACCCAGGGAGGAGAAATGGATTGTGAAGGAAGGTGAGCAGGAAGTGGACTCCTGTCTCCTCCCCTCTCTTCTCTCCAGCCAGGACTGGCTGTGTAGACTTGACTATCACTAATCTGCTTGAGGGGGCTGTAGCTTTCATGCCTGAAGATATCACCGAGGGAACTCAGTCCCTGCCCACAGCCTCTGCCCCCAAGGTGAGACCCAGAAAATGGTCAAATCCGAGAGTTGGGGTGGGTTGGGGCAGTCTACATACTCCCTGTCCCTGCCTTCCTTGTTTGATCCTGAGACCCTAGCACAGTGCCTCTCTTGCAAAGTAGGCATTCGGTGCGTGTTTAATGATGATGACTTCGCAAGCCCTCTGACATTGTGATCACCTCAGTTCCCCAGCTCTGGCCCGGCAACCCCTCAGCCCACAGCCCTAACATTTGCCAAGTCTTCCTGGGCCCGCCAGGAGAGCCTGCAGGAGCGCAAGCAAGCACTATATGAATATGCAAGAAGGTGAGGGGGTGAGAGGACAATGAGTAGGAAGGGGCAAATTGGAGAAAGGAATTATGGAGCTGATACAGCAAAGCCCATGTTATGTCTCTTTCTATGTCTTACAGGAGATTCACAGAGAGACGAGCCCAGGAGGCTGACTGAGCTCAAAGGAACAGGATGACACCCAGAGCCGCAGGATGGAGACTAGGGGCAGCCCTCACCCAAGTCACAACAGGCCGGATGGGTGGTAAAAAGGGAGGGATGAGGCTCTCCCAATATCACATTAAATTCAGGGTTTTCACTCGCGGTCTCTGTTGTCTCTCTGGGTCTCAAAAGCCACAAGGAGCAGTTTCCTTCTCCCTCGGTTGGGGGGGCAGGGGTGAGAATCTCCTTGTAGGTTTGTGGGGTGTGGTCAGAATGGACTGTCTGAAATCACCTCCTCATGTCAAATGAGTGATATTAAGGAGAGCCAGCTTGGGTGTTCAGCCCAGGTTTTTGAAGAAGCTGCGTAAAACTACAAGTCCCAGGATGCCTTTCATCAACACAATACGCATCACCTAGAGGGTTCACACATGCTCAGTGTGGTAGTTGGAGCCTGTTTTTCATAGGTTCCTAACTAGGTTAAATGAGGCGGAGCAAATGGCCCCACCCAAAAAGCAGGCATCAGAATTTGAAGTTTGAGCCAGACCCTGGGGTGGAGCCGGAATTCACCTTTGCACCTCATGCAGGCCAGGGTTGGGATGCCTGGGTGGGTCTGGAACTGGCTGCCGTCCTCATACATCCTACAGCTGCAAGCAGGTTTGAATCAAGGATCCCGGTGGCCCTGTTCTTCCTCCCCCTACCCCCATATCCTTATCCCTTTCTCCTTGGGGCTTTTCCTCAGCTTACTAGGTCTCACATAATTCCTGCTGCCCTCTGAAGACCCTTGCCCAAGTCACAAGATTTCACTGCCTGTCTACAGGGTAACAGTCCTCAAAATATCCAGCACTGTTTCTTGGCAGGCAAGAAATGCTGGGAAGAACAGACCCCAGGGCATTATCACCTGAGGGTGGAGGTTAGGGACCAGGGCTGAGGTGAAAAAGTGATGTCAGTCACCAAATATGAGGCCTTACTGGCTGCCCTGCCTTCTGCAGGTCCTGTCGGACAGCCACCATGGCCTCTCAGCCTCTCAGGCTGGCAGAAGAGTCTGGTCCAAGTCCTGGGGAGTCTGAACTGGCTGTGAACCCCTTTGATGGGCTCCCTTTCTCTTCCCGCTACTACGGGCTGCTGGAGCAGCGCCGAGCCTTGCCCATCCGGGCTGCTCGTTTTGTCTTCTTGGAGCAGTTGGAGAATAACCCCACTGGAGTTGTGCTGGTGTCTGGGGAGCCTGGCTCTGGCAAGAGCACCCAGGTGGAGGGAGATTCTGGGAGTGGATCTTTACCTGAGCAATGGGAGACTGGGCTGTGTGGGTCATGAGGGAGGCGAGCAAAGAGAGATGGGTTAGGCTGGTCCCAGGGGCTGGTGAAAGACCACGGAATAAGAAAAGATTAAACTGGCCATACTGCCAGGCACGGTGGCTCATGCTTGTAATCCCAGCACTTTGGGAGGCAGAGGCAAGAGGATTGCCTGAGTCCAGAGGTTCGAGACCAGCCTGGGCAACATGGTGAGACCTCGTCTCTACAATAAATCAAAAAATTAGCTCGGCGTGGTGGCACATGCCTGTAGTTGGAAAGCTGAGGTGGAGGGATCACCCGAGCCCAAAAGGTCAAGGCTGCAGTGACCGTGAGAATGCCACTGCACTCCAGCCTGAGCCACAGAGTGAGACACCAGCTCAAAAAATAAAAATAATAAATAAACCTGGCCATAGTTCTCCCAGCATTTATGACTTAAGCCTTACATCTCTCTGACTGGTCATCCTTCCTTACCCCATCCCAGATCCCTCAGTGGTGTGCAGAGTTTGCGCTGGCCAGGGGGTTCCAGAAGGGACAGGTTACCGTCACCCAGCCCTACCCTCTGGCAGCCCTAAGCCTGGCTTTGCGGGTTGCTGATGAGATGGACCTGACTTTGGGTCACGAGGTTGGATACAGCATTCCCCGGGAGGACTGCGCGGGGCAACACGCTGCTCAGGTGGGGCCCTCTGCAGGCCTGACCCAAATAGAATTCCGCCCACCCGTTCCTCTGGCATCCCACTAGGCCCTCCCTCAGCACAACTCACTCTTTAAATCACGTACATTGCAGCAGCTAAACCGAGCCCTGGAATCCTCAGACTTTCGGCCTCACCCTCATCACAAAAAGCCCATAACCCAGCTGGAGTGTAGCTTGTGAACAAAGTATTCTTGGTGGGTTTGTCCTCACCGTTATAGGCTCAGAAAGTCAGTCATAGCATATTTTTCTGGCCATCAAAATCAAAATCTAGGTCCCTAGGGTAGAAGTTCCCCTACTTCTGGGACTAGCCAGGGATCAACTCCTCTGCCCCCTACTGATGTCAACAGGTTCTGCTGGGACAGGCTGCTTCTGCAGGAGATGGCCTCAGCCCGAGGCACCGGAGCCTGGGGTGTGCTGGTGCTGGATGAGGCTCAGGAGCCATCGGTGGCCTCAGATTTGCTCCAGGGGCTGCTGCGGGATACCAGGCTGGGAAACCTTCCAGGGGACCCCAGAGTGGTCGTGGTTACTGACCCAGTCCTTGAACCTAAGCTCCAAGCCTTCTGGGGCAATCCTCCTATTGTGCGAGTACCCAGAGGGCCTGGCGGAAGTCCCACCCCCATCTACAGGGACACTGTCCCTACTGACCGGGTGGAAGCTGCCTGCCAGGCAGTCCTTGAGCTGTGTCAGAAGGAGGCTCCAGGAGATGTGCTAATGTACCTGTCCAGTGAGGAGGTAAAAAAAAAAAAAAAAAAAGACTGCATAAGGAGTCATTTATATCACCTTCCTGGTCCAGGGGAATGGAACGATGCTTATAAGAAACCACAGAGGAGTAGTGTTTACTCTGCTGAGCTCCTGGGGGAGCATTCGAGGATTTCAGAGAAACGAGGTCTACCACTCACTTTTTTGTTCCCTCGAATGCAGAGATTTGTGGCTCAGTGAGCCCCTACATTTATAATACCCTCAATTTTATGAGTATGTGCATTTTTTCAGTGTGAAGGCTATAGCTTTCATTCGGTTTTTAAAGGGGTCTGTGATTCCAAAAAAGGTAAGAACTGCCATAATGCCCTACCCTTCTCCTCAGGAAATTTCCCTGTGTTGTGAATCCTTGTCCAGGGAGGTGGAGTCCCTGGCTCTCCAAGGGCCCCTACCACGGGTGCTGCCCCTTCACCCAGGCTGCAGTCAAGCTGTTCAGGCTGTATATGAGGACACAGATATGGGTGCCCGAAAGGTCGTGGTCACTCACTGGCTAGCTGATTTCTCCTTCTCCCTCCCTTCTGTCCAACATGTCATTGACTTGGGACTGGAGCTTCGAAGTGTGAGTGAGAGAGAGGGAGAGCGGTGGGGTGGCTAAAGATAGAAATGGCCCACTCTGATCTGTCTTGGCCTTGGTTGGGGCTGGGGGCGACAGGTTTACAATCCTCAAATCCGAGCAGAATCCCAAGTTTTGAGGCCAATCAGCAAGTGTCAAGCAGAGGCAAGACGACTGCGGGCAAGAGGGTTCCCACCAGGTAAGAGCTTTTGCCCTCACTGAGATCAAACTTCGGAAGAGTCAGCCACATGCAAGCCCTGAGGAATCTACAGTGGTCTTTCCCAGGTCTTTCCCCCGCAGGATCCTGCCTCTGCCTGTATCCTAAGTCCTTCTTAGAACTAGAGGCTCCCGCATTGCCCCAACCCAGGGTGTGTGAAGAAAATCTGAGCCCCCTGGTGTTACTACTAAAGAGGAGACAGATTGCAGAGCCAGGGGAATGCCACTTCCTGGACCAGCCCGGTGAGCACCCCTCCTGCACGAGTACTGCCACCTGACCACCCTTCTCTGAAACCTCATACCCTGTGAGCTCTGTTTTCTCACCAGCTCCAGAAGCACTGATGCAGGCCCTGGAAGACTTGGACTATCTGGAAGCCCTGAATGATGATGGGGATCTGTCAGACCTGGGTGTCATCCTATCAGAGTTCCCCTTGCCCCCTGAACTTGCCAAAACCCTGCTAGCTTCATGCGAGTTCAACTGTGTGGATGAGATGCTCACCCTTGCTGCCACGCTCACGGGTGTAAATCAGTGGATCTTGTGGCCACTTCAGCCCTTCCTTTGTGTTGTGCTCCTAAGGCTGGCCCTTTCCTCTCCACTCTCGTTCCCACTCCTTGTGGTGGCTGAGGAACCAGGCTTCATCACCTACCCCTCTCTTGTCTCTTTAGCCTTTTCCTTCTGCTGGTTCTTGGCCATAACATGCTTCATCTCTCTTGTTATTGCTGAAACTCACACGGTCCTTTTCTTCAACCCTATCTTCCCCTCCAGCTACACAGCATGATCTCTATCCCAGCCTCCCTGGTGAATTCTCACCCACTGCACTCCAGCTTCAGGCCCACCACACCATCGAAACAGCTTTCAGCTGCCCAGTGACCTCCCAGGTCCTTTATCCAATGAACGCCGTTGAGCCCTTATTCATGACCTTCTTTTGACACTTGAGAGTGCTAACGGCTCCCCCCTTGAAACTGCCTCCTCCCTAAGCCTCTGTGATATTGTTTCTCATGGTTTTCATGCTACCTCTCTGGCATTCCCTTCATCTCTTCCTTGGGCTCTTTGTCCTATGCTTATCCATTGGAAATTGGTCCTCAAGGTTCTATTCTTGCCTCTTTTGTCTTCTCATTCCCTGAACTCTCTGAGCAAATTCAAGTTCATCCACACCCATGGTTTGACGTGCTAGAATTTATCTTTTAAATTTCCAAACATGTACCTTGTATCTCTCACCAATACTATTCTTCTGGATCTGAGAAAGAGTAGGGGGTAGCGAGTGGAAAGAGGCGGGAGAGTACTTCAACTCCTGATGGACATTTCTACCAGAATAGTCAACAGTACCTCCGTTCAGAACAGAACCCAAGCACTCTAGTAAATTACCCCCTCACTACCATCACCACATAAATCTTTTCTTCTGGATTCTCAGTTTCAGATATTATCATCTCTGCTGTTCCACTGCCATCGTTTTAGACTAATATTTCTCTAGGTTCTTTCATTTTTATCTTGTAAATGTTTTTTAAAAGAAATTCATCTAAAAAAAGAAAAAAGAAATTCATCTGCTCTTCTCCATATTCACTGCCAGTGCCAAGGGCAAGTCCTCATCATTGCTCACCTGGATGCCTTCAGTGGCCTCCTGACTAGTCATGTGAACTTTTTCAAACACATGAACTCTCTTACTTACAACCTCTTCTTCAACAGCTACTCTTTACCTTCAGGACAGATTGTAAAGTCCTTTGCACAGCGTATCCAGCCTCCCAAGACCTTGCCTGTACTTACGTGAAATCGCCAATCTGCCACATGCCACTCCCTTCACCCATATCAGGTGGCTTGTAGTTCCCCAAATATTATTAACTTCTGTGCATTCTGTTCCCACAGTCTAGAAGACTTTCCTCTTTTCCACTGAGCTAACTGCTACTCAGTTTCAAATACTGGCCCAGGGTCCTTGTCCTTTTCTCCCACATCACCCTTGCCTCCACCACCCAAAGCTTCCTCTTTGTTTCCAGAGTAGCATATATACACACCCATCACACTTACAAAGTCAGCTTACATGTTGGTCTCTCCCACCAAACTGTAAGCTCCTTCAGGGCAGAGGCTATTTTTCATTTATTTATCCTCAGTGTTGAATAAAGTGCATAGCACCTAGAAGTTATTATTGTCTTTTGAATAAAGTTCCCAAAGGTGCACTTCTACCTTTTCAGTGTTCTACCCGAACTACCATCTTTTCTCATTCCCCAAAATGACTTTTCTCTCTTCTGCCTTCAGCTGACCCTGGGTTTACTCATCCTCCACTCTGTGCAGAAGAAGCTGCTCTGCGTCGGGCCCTGGAGCATGCAGATGGTGACCACAGCTCTCTGATCCAGGTGTATGAAGGCTTTATACAAAGTGAGCACTGCATCTTCTTATAGAATCCTAGATTTTCCAAAGAAGGGAAGTGGTGTACAACCAGCTGACAGATCTCTGTGCCCAGGAAGAGGAGGCCTTTTGAGTTCTTCAGAGCTTTGGTTTTTTCAGGGGTCTCAAGGACTTAGTTGTAGCTGGCCCTTTTCTTCTCCCAGGTGGAGGAGATGAAACTTGGTGCCGTGCTCAAGGCCTAAGCTGGGCAGCACTGTGCCAAGCCCGTAAACTTCGGGGAGAGTTCCTAGAACTCATGCAGCGAATTGAACTTCCCTTGTCCCAACCAGCCTTTGGCTCCGAGAAGAATCGCAGAGACCTTCAGAAAACACTGGTGTCAGGATACCTCCTCAAGGTTAGGGGAAAGGGTTAGGATAAGGATGATAAAAGGAGCAAAAGGCAGAGGGGACCAACATCGGTAGGCTACCTCTGAAATTGGGGGCAAGGTGGTTTCAAAAGACTCTTTTTTTTTTTTTTTTTTTTTTTGAGTTGGAGTCTCACTGTCGCCCAGACTGGAGTGCAGTGGCATGCACACGGCCACTGCAGCCTCGACCTGCTGGGCTCAGGCGATCCTTCTGCCTTGGACTTCCAAGTAGCTGGAACTACAGGGATGCACCACCATGCCTGGCTAATTTTTTAATTTATTGTAGAGATGAGGTCTCATCATGTTGCCCAGGCTGGTCTCGAACCCATGGGCTCAGGCAATCCTCTCACCTTTGCTTCCCAAGTGCTGGGATTACAGGCATGAACCACCACGCCCGTCGTCAAAAGATTCTTTAGAACCAGGAGGGACTCTTCATTTGAGTCTTTGGGATACAAGGGGCTATGGAAAATGCTATTTAGTATAGTAGGGACCAGACAACACCTACAGGTAATGCCTTACTTTTAATATTCTTACCATCCTTACTAATTTTTTCTCAGCCCCCTTTTCTTTTTCTACTGTCTGACTCTTCCCTTTTACTTATGCCATTATTATCTTTGCCTTTCAATGAGGTGGCCCGAGACACAGATGGGTCTGGAAATTACCTGCTGTTAACCCACAAGCATGTGGTCCAGCTCTCCTCATACTGCTGCTACCAAAACCGCCGAGCTCCAACCAGACCCCCACCATGGGTGCTTTACCAGTTTCTCCATATCCAAAGACAACTGCCTTTCCATTGTTTCTGAAATTCAACCACAGATGTGAGTTCCCCGACACCCCTCCTACCCTGCCCATTCCTCTCCCTGGGGCCAAAATTATTGCCAGGGAGTTAGAGGAACTTAAGAAGTGATTTTGGTGGTTTGTAAAAACATATGTTTTGAGGAGAGAGGACTGATGGAAGGGATGGTGAGAATTTTAAGAGTCTGTGTCGTAGGAGAACATACAGATCATCTAATTATAATTCTCTCTGTCAGGCTGGTGGAATTGGCCCCTCCATACATCCTGAGTAACTTGCCCCCTAGTGAGAGCAGAGACCTGCTATATCAGCTAAGGGAAGAAATGGCAGAATCTTCAGCAGGAACTGAATCCTCCTCAGCCCAGGAGTTTGGAGATGCCTGCGTCCTGCAGTGACCCACCAGCCTAAGGAATGGAGCCCATCACATTAGATCCTTCCTCAGGCTAGCACCAACACAGCCAGCCAGATTTAAAAGCCCAAGGTTTAGGGTCAAACGTAAACCCTGGAACCAGAGTCCCAAGAAATGGTGGGCTGGGAGTAGAGAATGGGATAAGCCACACAGTCTATACAGGATAAGAAAACCCTTTCCTTAGCATTCCCCTATTTATTGGAGAGGGACTGACATGCTCCCCACTCCTTCCCAACTTATGCCAAACCCGTTCTTGTACTCCATTTCAGTCTATAAAAGATTATTCTACCATGCCAAATCTGAGTCTGGTTCTGCAGCACCGAATATAACATCCACAAGTCAGAAGTGACACTATATCAAAGATCCAGGGCCAGCTTCTCCAGCTATTTTGCCTCTTGCCTGCTTCCCTTCTCTGGTCAGGCCCCTGTGCTATGACTGACATAGCTGTCATGAGCACAGAACATGTGTCCTCTGGCTATAGTTGGTCCCTGCTCCTGCCTCTCTTCCCTCTGTCACAATGCTCCAGCCTCCAGGGGAGGAAGAATGGGGTGCTAGAAGAATCAGACAAAATCTCTCCCCCTTCCTCAACCTAAATCCTGCTCCCATTTTAAAGCCTGAAGTCAGTCAGGTATGGTAGCTCACGCTTGTAATCCCAACACTTTGGGAGGCTGCAGTGAGAGCATTGCCTGAGCCCAGAGGTTTGAGACCAGCCTGGGCAACGTGGCGAGACTTCATCTCTACAATAAATAAATAAATAATTTAGCTGAACATGGTGGCACATGCCAGTAGTTCCAGGTACTTGGAGGGCTGAGGTGGAAGAATCGCCTGAGCCCAGCAGGTCGAGTCTGCGGTGACCGTGAGCTTGCCACTGCACTCTAGCCTGGGTGAAAGAGTACGGCCATGACTCAAAAAATAAAATAAAATAAAAAATAAAAATAAATAAAGCCTAAAGTCGATTGCAACCACCCCCTACTCAACTTTCCATCAACAAACTTCCCAGCAGCCCCAATCTATCATCAAGCTGAAGTCCTTCTGACAGCCTGAGAGACATTATGTGTTCTTTCTTTTCCAGCTGGGTACTCCTTCCCCTTTTCTGCCCTAGGACGATTAGCTTTGGTGTCCATATGCACACTGCAAATGTGCTTGTAGAACTGGTGGAAAGGGTCAGTTCTTCCAACGCTACTCCCCCCCTTAGAGATTTGGTCTGTTCTCATGATTCTATCTCTACCTCTATGTGAATGTCAGCTATCTCCCTCAAAGGCACTTTTCCAGAAATTAGTCTCTCTAGCTCTAGCATTTAGTTTTGCCCATCAAGTGAATCCTGCTCTGATTTCCCCCACTTTCCCGTCATCATCCACAACACTATTGATTTCCTGATCCTCCATTTTTCCAGTCCTGGAATTCTCTTTGGTTCTTCTTAGGCTTATCGCTTCCAAATCATTTGCCAACTTCTGCTTCCTCTGACATCATTGGGCCCATTACCTTTGTCCACAGTTCCCTTCCCTTCTATGTCCCTGCGGGAGGCCAGCGCCAGATTTTCCTCCTAGGTGTTCTCCTTCGCGGGATGCACAGGCATCCACCTCGTCTGCCGCCTGGGCGAGAGGCTCGGGTGAGAGGACGTGGCCAGCAGGCCCAACACACGCGACAACATGAGGCTCAAGGTTAGGAAGGAATCCTTGGCGATTATTTTACAGCGGAGGGATGAGATGCCCGACGAGGACCACCCTCTGGTTCCTGCCACAATCGACCAGACTTGCACTCCGGCGCCTCCTCCGCGACTTCGCCTGTCCCTGGTGTCTTCCCTCCTTCACACCTTTGCCACAGGCCCAGCCAGCGCCCAGCCAGCGCGGCGGCAACAACCCCTTCCCCCGGCCCGGCGCAAAGCGGCTCCAGGAACCTCGGAGCCCCGCCCCCGCCCCTCCTCGGAGAAGCCCGAGTCCCTCAGGATGACAGCTCCCATTGGCCAGCCCCGGCGCCTCCCC